AGCTAAACTGATACTTCCTTTGCTGCTTCAGAGCTGCAATCTCTGCAGAGTAACAATACCAATGAGGAAATAAAGGGAGTACTCCTTAATTGCCTGAAAGAGGAGTCCTTCATGTATTCCTAGCTGCACTGGCACATTTTGGTTTTGCCATTTAACACACCAGAAAGAAACCTCAAAATGTTATTGAATGGAAGTGTCTGATGGTGTGTTTGTGTTTCTTTGTGCTGAGGTATATGTGACTTTCAAGCTTAGAAAGGGACACTTCATAAGTGGTATCTAAAGAAATAATGGTTTTGTGTGTTGGTGTTTCAAAAATTATTATTGCATTTAAAAGAATGAAAATAAAACCGACTCAAACCCTACCACCTTCTGCACAGCATTTAACCCTTACACATTTGGCTCTGCGCGCAGGAGTCATTTTGTGCTGTTGTGTACAAGTGCCCTTCTCTGGACTGAAATACACCTTTCCACCAGCTCGGTGCCTGGGCCACTCATTTCCTTCCTGTGATTTGGTCACACAGCTGAGTATAAACTGAAAATAATGTAGGCACCAGACGAGGGAGGTGCACGACAAACGTAACCAAACCTTGTTAGGTATAGAGGGAGTCTACCAGCAAATGTTCAAAACCCTGCTGGGTGTAAATGTGTTATTTGTGCAGAACTGAGTACACATAACCTGCTCTGGAGCTGCTGGCTGAAGAGCAGCCTCCTCACCCCTCTGAAGGATGGGAAGGCAGTATTGATCGGGTGGCTGCTGATTGGCTTCCACTTGTATGACCAAACCTGTCTAAACTGGTTACTGATTTAATTCTTTCTTCTCTCACTGGAGTCTGATATGAGATCTGTTGCTTGGCTGCAGCGTGCTCCCTTGTGGGTATGGCTGGAAGTGCTCTGAGGCTGGTCTGCAGGGATACGTCATCTGGAGCTGTTAACCACCGCTTGGTGCTCATCTTCTCATCCCGTCTGTGCTTATCGTTTTGTCACTTAGGGCAGCTTTCATTGGATATTCCTTGGCTGCTGAGGATTGTGGGATTGAGCTGAAAATAGGCATCAGTTAACCATCTAAGAACAGAATATTATGAGAAACTTTTTTTTTTTTTTTTTTTTTCCCGTACTGGTTCTCTGTAGAACTGTATTAGGGCATTATTTTAAAACTAGATTTTGGATAATAGCTGAAGATACAAAGTAAACATAGTTTTGAAACTTATTAGAAATGCAAGTTTATTCATTTAGTATCTTTTTTAAAGAAGAAAGTAAGGATGCATCAAAATAAAGGTACTCTATTGTGATGTTTTTTTTTTTTAAGATTGCTGTTAGAAAATTTACAAAGGAAGTATTCTTTATGTTACTCTGCTTTACCTTATTTTATATTTAAAATAGAATTGAAGGATCACATAGAGATGATTAAGGAGACAAGCAGAAAAATATTAATATTTTATGGTTACTCAAGTGATGCACTTAATTTTATTTTTAAATTGTAAACATTAATCTCTTAGTGTATGCTTTGGTCACAGCAAAAGTAGGATTGTGGATTTTGTAATATAAAGTCTTTTATATTCTGGGTAATGCTTACAAAAGAACACATTGCAGTCTGGGAGATCAAGCTACTTGTCTGCCTTAATTTTGATGCAGAGGCCCCGTATCCCTGCACTGCATTAACAGAAGACTATCGCCAGCTGATCACTAATTAGGAGCTCTTGGAATTGTTCAAGGTTAGCCAGTTTGGAATATTCCGTATTTTTCCAGATCGGCTCTACAAGCTATTGTCCTGATTTCAGCTGAGGTGGAGCTAATTTTCCTTCAGAGTAGGTAGAACACTGTATTTTGTACTGAAAGTGGGAGCTAGCGTGAGAATAACGTTGATAATCCATGGATGGTTTTGGTTTGTGCTGTGAAATCAAGGACTTTTTGACTTGCCATGTTTTGGTAGTGTGCAGGTGCACAAGAAGCAGTGAGGGAGTGTAGCCAAGAGAGCTGCTCCAAACTGGCCAAAGGGATGTTCCATGCCATGTAATGGCATGCCCAGTATAGGAACTGGGGGAGCTGGTCCGGGGGCAAGTCGCTGCTCGGGCATCAGTCAGCACGTGGTGAGCAGTTGTACTGTGCATCACTTGTCTTGGGCTGTAGTTCTCTTTTCAGTCTATTCCTTTGCGTTATTCTCGTTATTGTTATTATTATTGTTTTGTTTTAGTTACAGAACTATTCTCATCTTGCCCCATGAGGATTTAACTTTTTCTTCCCTTTCTCCTCCCCATGCCCCTTGGGGTGGGGGAGAATGAGTGGGTGGCTGCATGGTGCTCTGTTGCTGGCTGGGGTTAAACCACAGCAGTTACACATCTGTGCCAGGGTGCATGTTCGGGGCAGGGGGTTCTGTACAGGGAACACTGGCACGGTGCTCACTCATACTCTGTTAGGTGACAAGCTGACATGCTTTTGTAGCCATGTGAAAAACGTGCTTACGTTCCGAGTTCTTGGGTGGAAGGAAAGGGTGTGCCTCAAACTGCACACTCACTGTTGAAATACTGAAGGGTTTTATATGCTGCTCCTAATTTCAGGACTACAATTACGTTGTTAAGTGTGTATTTTTCTGGAGGAATATGAAGATACTGTATTTTAATATGTAGACAACTCTGGAAGGAGTTCACCTGCTCACCCACAGTGCACCTGGATTTCATATTTCATCTGATTGTGTCCTGGTTTGAGTTAGAATAGAACTAATTCTGTTCAGTGACTTTACTTTTCAGCTCAGTCTCTTATAAATAACTTGATGTTTAGAGTTACAGCCAGGGATTGGTGTGTGCAGAAAGTTTATCACTTATACTTACTTACCCCTGTGCAGACCAAGGTCACTGCTAAATCTTGTCTGCCACGTTTGGGGTGCAGAAGGTAAAAGGTCACACCTGTGAGGAGACAAAGACAGGACAGTTGACCCTAAACTGACCAATGAGCTATTCCATCCCATATCTGTCACATTCAGTATGAAGTTGAGGGATCACAAGGGTCAGGCTCTCTTCAGTGGGCAGTGTCCAGTCCTGAGTCCACTCCTGAATCCAGTTCCAATCTGATGCTGGGTCCAGTGAGGGACTTGCCAAGTGCCTGCCCACAGTACAGTGGTGATGATGATGGAATTGCCATCAGGGAGCTTGGGTTCAGTATTTGGTTTGTATATATTTTTGTATATTTCATGTTATTATTTTAATTTTCTTAAAAGCTAGTTCAGGGGTTTATTTCAGTTTGCAAGTTTCTGTCCCTTCCTCCCTTTCTCTTCCCCTCTGGGAAGGGGGAGGCGTTAATACAGAGCATCTGCCATTGTCTAGTGCCTGGCCCAGCCCTAACCCTTGACAGACTGGAAATGGTTATGTGATGAGAACATTTTCTAGAAAAAAATTGATCTTCCAGATTAGTTTTTCTGCAGGTCCTGTATTTTGCTCCCACTAGTGGCAATGCAATAGAAGGCAATCATGTTCAGAAAATCTATCTCAGTCTGGAAAAAATCATGTCTTGATGGTGTTAAGTGTCTGTAAGTAGAACTGATACACAGCATCTTGTGAAGATTGGCTCATCTGTTCCTGAGGTGTGAATTCAAGTGTTATTTAAGCACCATGAGTTACTCAAATACAAGGATTCTAGCTCATCACACAGAAAAGAATTTTGAAGTAAAGCAGATCTCGGTGTTGTGTTGATAGGAAATGCAAAATGGGAGGAAGTCAGCTTGTTATTATCATATAGCTTTCTGTTTTGTCTGTAATTTTTCACATCATTTTAACTAATCTAAAAGCAAATCTAGGATTTTAAAGTATGGTGTGTCATGATTGCAAGATTTAGAGTTTGTCCGGGTAGTTAAATTCACGTTGCACGTTAGAGGATATATTCTTATTTTACTGTAGCATATTCTAGTTGGGCAATGCATAAATGTGAAATAATTTCCTTCTTAAACAAGTTCCAAGTAAACTAGCAAGGATCCAGCAGAGGACTACTAAAATGATAGCAGCCTAAAACATGTGATCAATGATAAGATGCTGATGGAACTTGAGAGCTGAAGAGGAGCCTAAACCTTACAGCCACTGGAAACTTGTAGGAAAGGCTGGTTCCAAAAAGGCTGGAGCCAAACTGTTACTTAGAGGCTGTGGGATCTGTTTTGTGAATTTTATGGTTTGATTGTACAAAACCATCGCTGATCTGAGCTAGTGTTCACCATAGTCCTGCTTTTTTTTTATCTTGTAAAAATGAAATAAAAAAAATCATACCCCACAGGAAAAGAGTAAATGCAGTTTTATTAATGAGGTTCTCAGCTCTGTGAGTGAAAGTGCATTGGGGGAAGATGCAATGTGATCTGTACCAGGTTTTAAACTGCATCCTTTGTGTAATAATTGGGCTCTATCAATGGTATCAACGTCTGCTTATCTAGTGCTTCTGGAAAAAATACAAGTCATGCAGGCATAACTGCCCAGTTTTTCTTTCTGTTTTCTACTTACTGTAATATCTTTCAACTACTGTTACCTGAGGGAGTTTTCGTGTGTTTTGAGAAACTCAGGAGGAGCTCTGTCCCAGGCAGGACGGCGTGGTAGCTGTAGCAGAGCTGCACTGGTTAGCAGCAGGATCTTAGTTCCTGGGTCTCGTTTAGGCTGTAACAAGTTCCTCAGCTGCTCTCTGCTCCTGAACAATGTTATCATCTCTAATCCTTTGAAACTGGGTTCTAAACCAAAACCATGTGAGGGGGGGCAGTTGAAAAATCCCTGTGGATTTTTTGTTTGTTTTGTTTAATGGAAACAAATGAAACAAGATTTTGGTGTTTTTCGAGGAAGTTATATGAAGTTGCTGGGTAATGCTGGACTGAACTCTGTTCATTGGTTTGATAAAGCAGATTTTCAAACAATACGTCAAAGTAACGTCAACGTGCTAAATGCACAAAGTATCTTCCTTCAGAAGGCTTTAATGTGATGATAATAAGTCATTACCTTCACAATTCTTTCTGAATTTTTTTTTTTTTTAGGGTCAAAATGGATAGCACAGAAGAAACACAGAAAAAAGTCTTTAAAGCACGAAAAACCATGAGAGCAAGTGATCGACAGCAACTTGAAGCTGTCTGTAAGGTTAAGGAGGAGCTGTTGAAGGCAGCTGAAGTTAAACTGCTAAACGGTAAGCATGAGAATGGAGATTCTGATTTGAATTCCCCTTCAAGCAATACCGACTGTACGGAGGAAAAGAAGGAAGTTAATGGCCTAGTGGACTTGTGTGTTAACTCTGAAGAAGGAAGAACAGCTTCTGATGAAATCAGTGAAGCCAAAAGCCCTGAAAGTAAAGCAGTCAATGACATAGAACCCAAACCTGTGACTGTGTCCCCAGAGAACGTTACTCCTGAGCAAGATAAAGATACTGGTACTGCTTTAGCTTGTGAGATTGAAAATGAAGTGCAGGGTAGCAATAAAGATAACTTCCATGAAGAAAATAATAAAGAAGATCATTTGGACCAAAGAGAGAGTAATGTCCCATCAGAAGGTGCAAGTAAATCAGTTTGTGAGACTAGTGACCCTTCTGAAGAGAAGGGAGAAACAGAGGACTTAACTATTAATTCTGATTCATCTAGTGATGGAAAGAGGACTGCAGCAGTAAGTGCCGAAGATGCTGTTGGAGAAGAAGCCATCTCCAGCAGTGTGGAAACTGATGAGGAACCAAAGGACAAGCGAGACAGCACCACAGGTTTGTCAGAAACCACTGAACAGAAGGCAACAGATGAGCCAAGTGAGAGCATCTTGGGCAATGCTGACTGCATGGAAACGGATGAAATTATTCCAATTTTGGAAAAACTAGCTCCTGCTGAAGATGAACTGAGCTGTTTTTCTAAAAGTTCTCTGCTTCCAGTGGATGACACAATCACAGATTTAGAGGAGAAAATAGACAGCTGCTTGAGTTCACCATCCAAGCAGGAAAGCAACGAAAGTCTGCCGAGAGAGGCGTTCTTGGTGCTGTCTGATGAAGAGGATCCCTGTGATGAGAAGGAGCATTCTGAGGTGATACCACCAAACGAGGCAAGTCTTCCAGGTAAGGATTTTCTTCATTGTTAGTTCTCCTTCAAGTCTGGGATTTTGTTCATTTCCTAGAATGACACACCTGCAACATGTTTCTAAATCCAGAAGGGCAGTCTTACTGACCAGTTCTCTGCTATGTAGTCTTACAGTGTTCAGGGATGGAATTGGAGGTCTGGGGAAAAAAAAAAAAAAAAGAGTAACACTAAAAAACTGTCGACTTCAAGATTTGTTTGGTTGAGTTAATAGAAGTTAAATATAAGAGAGCATCAAGCATATCTTTGTAGCCAGAACTTTCTCTAAAAAAAGCTAGTCAACTCTGCTGTGATAACAAAAGGAAAATGGGAAATTAGAGAAGTGTACAGATCAAGATGTGCATAACAGTGCTGACTTGGTCTGTTCTATTCTGCACAGATTTTATTGTAATCTTAAAAGTAATAGTTGTAAGTTGTATCTAGCAAGCACATGAGGTGGAAAATACAGCCTGTATGGAACACATAATGGAAATTCTTGGAATATATATCAGAAGTTTTCAGGAAGTTTTAGCATTTTTCTTTTTAACCTCTGTGCATTTGGAGGAGTTACTTCAGATTTTTCTTCAAGAATTTTCTAAACTGCATCTGTTATTATTAGTCTTAATTTGTGATACTTGATATTAGAAAGAAAATTTAAATGAAGATTCATATTTGTTAAGAAAAGAAGAATCTAAGCCTTATCTACTGTTAAGACCATGAATGAATTTGCCAATTGTAAATAAACATACTAGTATTTTGTTACTGAAGTGTTTACACTTTTTTCCTAAATGAAAAATAAACTAAAATATTTTGTTCCAAACTTTAACTACATTAAAAATACAGGTTCATTTCAGAGGTAACTTTAAGGCATTCTGTTGGTTTTAAAGCTAAGCAAATCCAGAATTGAATCTTACTGTGTTGTAGGGTAGTTCAAATGTTTGCTCTGAAGGCATCTTCTGATTTTTTTTCATCCCAGCATTCCCTCTGTGTCATAGTTGTTTCTCTTGCCTTCCCTAACATGATTTCTCATAAGTATTCTAAGTTCACTAGTCAAAACAGGACTTCTGTGAGACATTTTGTAGGCCAGCATAAATAACATATGTATTTTTTACTTCTGCTCATAGAAGAGGTGGAAGAGGAGAGAGGAAAGGAAAATTATGAAGATAAAGAAGTCGTCGCCCACAAAGAGCACGAGAAACCCGCAGAGATAAGTACGTGATGTTAAAGCTGGGGTGCTTCACTGGTGGCACCTGGTAGAAACACAGAATCACTGAGGCTGGAAGGGACCTTTGGAGATTATCTAGCACACACCCCCTGCTGAAAACCAGGTCACCTAAAGCAGTTTGCTCAAACCCATGTCCAGACAGGTTTTGGGTGTCTCCACAGTTGGAGACTCCCCAGCATTCCAGTGTTCCACTTCCAGTGTTTGACCACCCTCACAGTAAAAGGGTTTTGATACGTTTGAATGAAATTTCCTGTATTTCAGTGTGCATCCATTTCTCTCCCATCTTCCACTGGTATTTGCTAAGAGTCTTGCTCTTTTTCACTCTCCACCCATGAGGTAATTTACACATTATAAAATCTCCCCTAAACTGCCTTCTCCAGCTGAACAATGCCAGCTGTAATTTCGTTATGTGACATAAAATATAGTACACAGAAGGGGAGTGGTACTTGTGTTATTAGAGAGGATCATGATAAACTTGTCCTCACTAGTCTGGACGAAGTGTTATAACTGTTAAGGTTTTGGATTTTTTCGTATTCCTACAAGTTTTTCTGATGGATGGAAGAAAGCTGGAGATGTAGCTCTGTGCTTACTGTCATTCCAGGGGAGGGAGAAAAGGGGAAAAACTCAGACCCTTGGATGTTTATATTGCTTCACACATCTTGTTTTTCCAAAGGCCTTCTTATTGGTTTAGGATGAAAAAGCTTAAACTGGGGATAAATGAAACTTCATAAGAATCACAGTGTTCTGCAGATGCCTGCTCTTTCAAAGGTTCCTCATAAGCAGTTGTGTCTGATTGTTGCAGGTGAAACATGGAGGAGAAAACGTTCCAAATCTGAGGACATGGACAGTGTTCATCCAAAACGCTGTCGGTACATGGAAGAAGATTATGAGGCAGAACTGCAAGTAAAAATTACAGCCAGAAAGGATGTTGACCAAAAAATACAAAAGGTAGAATGGAGATGCAGAGCAAAGATGGCAAATAGAGCCCTGTCACTTGCCTTACATCTTTGAACTAGCTGTCTTTTCCCAGGCATGCGCTGCCTCCCCAGACACTTTATATTTGTGGTTGAAAATTGGATCCTATTCAAAGGGCAGAGGTGGCTTAATCCATGCAGAGTCTTATATAGCCCTGCTTTTAAGAAGAGAACAACTATCGTTTGAAAACTATGCTACAAGAGTTACATCTGAAGTGTGTTGAGAATTAAGAGTTTAAATATTATGTGACTATAACTGGAGAATCTAAGCAGAGGAAGGATTTCAGTGTGATAAAACTTTTTATGTGGTGCACTCTATCGTGTGACTAGCTATAAAGAAAGTCTGTCTCCAAAGAAGAGTGCAATCAACACAGCATTTTGCAGGTTTTATAGAGCTGTTAATTACCTTATTGCACCATCGACGTGTAAAGAAACCCATGGAGTAGGACAAAAACCTTGTGCCCTTCTTGCATTGGTTGGTTAGTGCCTGTTGTAACATCCTTAATGTGGGGTGCAGAAAACTGAACCTCCTTCATTTATTTTTGATTCTTAAGGAAAATTTTTGCACTGCAATAGGTATAGGAGGGAGAAGAAATTAAATAATAAGTGTATCAAGTAACCTTTGCAGAAATGGGTCTCTTTTCATCTTAAGGTTCTGCAGGAAAAGCAACACAGGGCATTTCTGCTAGGGGAAAACATATCTCATAAATAAAGTTTTGTTGAATGGCTTCATCTGTTCTTTGCCAGTATCCCTCTCAAGAACAGAAAAGTAATACAAAAAATCAGTTTGTGTAAATGCAGCATTTTATGAAAATACCTTCTGTTGTTAGGTTCTTTTTATATGTCATCAGGTTTTATCAGTTTCTTGAATTAATGGCAACGAGGAACCATTTCTGTTTGTCAAAAATAGATGTAGAAAGTTTTCTTAGCTGTGCAAACACAAATGCTTATTGGTGACTATAGATTTATTTGTTTGACAAGGCACAACTTGCCATTGTTCTGTTTGTAGCTGGATACTTAAGAGTTGAGAATAATGTAATAGGTGGTCTCCCAGATTCTGTAATTGCATTACTATTGTTATTTTTTTATAATAATTTTGCAGATTATCCAGAAATTGTTAGAAGAAAAACTTACTGCTTTACAGTGTGCTCTATTTGACAAGACTCTGGCAGACTTGAAAGCACGAATAGAGAGAGTAGAATGTAACAAGAGGCATAAAACTGTGCTTACTGAACTGAAGGTGAGTGTGTGTGTGTTGAACTGCATACTGCAGTCACATTTCAAGATCAGTTCCTCAGCATTCAGTAGGAAGTCTGCTGTAGTTGTCAGTAGTGAAGCCATTTTGACTCCACAGTGGGGAGGAGGGTGGGAAGCAGCAAATCCTAATGTCACTTTTGAGTTGTAAAATTCTATTGCCCTACTTGGAAAGAAGATAGCAACCAATTAATCATTAAGGAAAAAAAAAAAAAAAAACCAAAAACAAAACCCCACAACCACAATTTCCTTCTGCCATCCTGATTAATTTGCTGTGAATAAACCACTTTTCCATTCTTCTGTTCCCTTTAGACATTTTTCAAGTAAATCCTAAGTATGAAAATTTCAAATGCCTGTATAAAGCCAGAAATTTGCTTGAAAATGCAAAAAGGACAGGATGATAGCACTGGACTCTGTAGAATGTTCAAACACATAAGCATCACATGTTACTTTTCCATGTTACTTCCCCAGAAACTAAATAATTATGATCTAGCAAGGACACAAACAGCTAGTGTTGAATGCAATATACTTTCTTATATGCTTTGTAGAAGCAAGGTACATAGTGATCACATCAGAGACATCACAGAAATGAAGGAATTCTGGAGTGACAAGGCAATTAAATGCTTGTGTCATAAAAAATGCAAACAGTAAGGCCGATTTGCTTTGCCAGACTGGTTTGTAATACATCACTCTTCCCTTCCTTTTATGTTGACTTTTTGTTCAGTACCATCTAAGATGCCTGGAGTATACTTGTGTCTTTAGCCATCAACTACAGTGTCAAATTAATAACATTGTATAAGGCTGCTGTGGTTTAGGCCCACCCAGCTGGCAACAAAGCACTATGCAGCACTTGCTCACTCCTCTCACTCCTACCCATCTCTGGTGGAATGGGCAGGAGGAAATATAACAGAAGGCTTGAGGGTCAGGATGAAGGACAGAGGCCACACTCACCAATTTTAGTCATGAGAAAAAAAACACGTAACTTCGAGGAGAAAAAACCCCCATCAACTTAATTTAAACAACAAAACCACTAATTTAACAACTGGATTAGAGTAGGATAATGAGAAATACAACCAGATATTAAAAACACATTCCTTCCATCCCTCCCTTCTTCCAAGGCTCAGCTCTGCATCCAGATTCTCTACTTCCTCCCCACCAGCAGCACAAGGAACAGGGAATGGGGGTTGTGGTCAGTCCATCACATGTTGTATCTGCCACTCCGTCCTCCTCAGAGGGAGGACACCTCACAGTCCTCCCTGCTCCATTGTGGCATCACTCCCACAGGAGACAGTCTTCCATCAGCTTGTTCAGCATGAGCCCGTCCGGCAGGACAGTGGCTCTTCATGAACTGCTCCAGTGTGGGTCCCTTCCAGAGGGTGTAGTCCTCCCAGCAAGGAACTGCTCCAGTGCAAGCTTCCCTCAGGGTCCCAGCCTTCTTCAGACACTGTCATCTGCTCTGGCCCAGGGCCCCCCCCGGGCTGCAGGTGGCATCTGCTGCACTGTTAATCCCTGCTGGCTGCAGGGCCCGGCCTGCATCTCACCACAGGCTGCAGGAGCATTCTAGCACTGCTGCACTTCCCCTTCTCCTGCCTCACTGACCTAGGGGTCCACATCACATAGTTGTTCCTCTCATCCCACTCCTCTACAAAACAAAAGAAATTGCCTAACAGGTTTTTCCCCTCTTAGATTCTAACCATCAACCCAGCACTACAATGGCCCCTAAACCATGCCCCATAGCACCACATCTGCATGTTTTTTTAACCCCTCCAGGGATGGTGACTCCACCACCTCCCTGGGCAGCCTGGGCCAATGTCTCACCACTCGGCCAGTAAATAAATTCTTCCTAATATTCAGTCTAGAATATCAGAGGCACTTCTACCATCATTGTTTGGCTCAGCCTTGGCCAGTGGTGGGTCTGACTTGGAGCTGGGGAAGCTTCTAGAAGCCTCATACAGAAGCCACCTCCGTAGCCCCTCGCCCACTACCAAAAATCTCACTGCACACAAACTCAGCACAAAGGTTGTGCATGTGTTAATACACTCACTGTCTAAGCTTGCAGAGTTTTGTTATGCAGGGTGCTCCAAAACTCATCTATGTTGTAAAAGGTAACAGAAATTGAAATATAAATGTAATTTAAGCCAGACTATAACTGTAGCCAGTCATGTGGCTTTGTAAAAAATGTGAAAGAGGTGAGGCTTCCAAATGGACCAGCTCCATGAAGGTTGGACTTGGTGATCATAGAAGTCATTTCCAACAATAGTGATTCTGTGATTCCTTTTAGCTAAGAAGTTCTGCAGTTATGGCATATGGAACTTGCTGGTTTTTTTAGAACTTTCATTCTTCTAGTGCTTAATCTAGTGTTTTCAGGAGTTTGTAAAAACAATTTAACTTTTCTTTTTGTGCTACAAAATAAAAAGAGCATCTGCTTTGAACAAGTGGCACAGCTGCTGTCTCAGAACAAGTCAGCCACCAGAACTGCAGCCTAGCCAGGGTAAATAGGATCCTGTAATGCTGAGGTACTTACAGGGGGAGTAGACACCAAACAGGATATTGTGGGCAACACAAGAAGTAAAGGACCAAGATGTACGAATTGTGCTAAAGATAATGAACCTGATACCTCAACATCATCTAGAGCAGAACAAAGAGAGCAGTAAGGTGTGTGTGATACGTAGTGTGTCAGTGAGAGGGGTAAATGGGAGAACAGATAACATGAAAGCCAAAAAGGGATGCACTTCTCAGTACGGTTGAAACATGAGGCATTAAAGCAGACAGATGCATTTAGGTGCTTTCATTCATGCAGAATATTGCATGAGCCTCTGCAAGATGGGTTCTGTTTCTTCAGTTGTGACTAGGACAGAATAATTGGAGTTGTCCCCGAGGTACCTCGGTGGCAATACACCTCTGTGTCTTTCTGCTACTATGACATGATTTCATCGTACTGTATTTCAAGGGAGAATAACTTCCTCTGATAAGAAAATAGCCTTTGCCTTGATGTCTTCATTATGTATCTTCTATTTTGTATCATTCCCTTGATGGTTCTTGTGGAGGTTGTTTATGGTTTGTTTCTTTTTCATCTTCCCATCTAGGCTAAAATTGCTAGATTGACAAGGCGGTTTGGAGCAGCCAGGGAGGACTTGAAGAAAAGACAGGAAGTAAGAAATAAATGTATTTTTATATTTATTTTTTCTGAGTTATCCTAACCCCCATGTTGAAAAATAAATGTTATATGCAGAAAGATGCAACTTGGTTGTTCAGTGGCATTTACAAAGTAGCCTGTCTTGTTCAGCTAGCGCCAGTGATTATGAAAGAGTAATCTCATACCTGTTACATAATTCTGATTTGTGCAGAAGATTCTTTAGGTATGATCAGTGTGAAAGTACCTGAAACCATATGTAAGTAAATCTATTTTACTTCAATACAAAGAGCACAGGTTAGATAACAGTGAATCCCAGTACCCTGATTTTGGGGGTGAAAGAGGAGAGGAGTGCATACGATCAATAGTATTTCTCTGTGTCTAGAATGAGTATTTTGGATTAATTACCATAAAGAAGTGGAAGCTAAAAGTGTATTGGCATTCAAGAAGAAATTTTGATTCTATAAAATCCTTAAGGTCAGAGATTTACAAAAAAGGGGGATGTAGGAGAGGGGGAGGCAGTAGGACCAAGGAAGTTTTGGGGGCTTGTAAAAACACATCAAGTTCTCCTACAGCATTGGCTCCAGAAAACATCTGTCTCACACAGGAAGGAATAGATATGAAACACAATGAAAGCATAAGTTTGCAAGCTGACTGATAGTTGTTTTGTTATGGCTTTTTTTCCCTCTCTGCAGAGTTGCCCAAATGCACCTCCCTCTCCAGCAAAAGCAGCAGGTGACACTGTGAGCACGAGCAGCGTGCCGTACCGGTGAGCAAACCACCCTGACCATGTTACAGTCTAACATTTACAGCAGGAACCTTGACATACCTGCAGTAAGGGATAATCCCTCTGTTTTTCTAATTAAAGTGCATTCCCTTCCTTGCTTTTCATTGTAAAATTTAAGATTTTCTTTCCCAGAAGTCATAAATGGACAGTATTGATTCCATTCTTAGGTAAACTGAGATAAGGGTTTCAGTAGTTAAAAATTAATGGATAAAACTGGAAGTTTAATTTCAAGGAAGGGAAAACTCATGGTGAAAGGCAAACTTAATGACAGCACATGAAAATTCAAAATAATTCTGCCTTTTTTTTTTAGTAGAGGAATATAAAAAGTTAATGGGGGAGTAGATGCGGGCATAAAATAAATGGGTCTAGAACATATGAAAAGGACAGCTGTAAAGTAAGAGGTGTTCTCATCATTGTACTGTTCATGATTATACCTGATGTGGCCGCTTGAGAAATGTTAACTAAAACCTCATTCCATAGAAATGCTGGCACAGTGAGGCAAATACTGGAGTCAAAGAGGAATGTAGCAGAGAACACACCAGCAACTTTTCAAGCTCCTGTGACTGCAAGTAAGAAACCACTTGTGGACTAAACACATTTCTTTAAAAACTGTATTCTTTCCATTGAAGAGGAACTAGTGGAACTGAACAAAACTAGCATTTGTGACTGGGTTTTTTCCTGACATCAAATCCTATTATTTATAGCTCTGTATCATATTGCCAGTTTGTTTCTGTAGTATGCTTACCAGGTAAGGGAAAAAATGTGTTGATTTGGCCAATGAGAACACACTGGTAGATTAGATACTTCACCAGACTGCTTGCTGGATATGTCAGCAAAACTCAGTCTCTGAGCTGCCGAGAAGGGAAACATGTGGCTCACAGGCCTTTTTTGTACTTGATCATAGTAGAATGCTGGTATCTTCCCCACTATCTAATGTCCATAAAAGGTGAGTGGGGAACTAAAGGAAGTCATAAGCCCCATTCCTTAAGGGAATCAAGTTGGAAAATTGAATTTCTAGATTAGAATTTTAATTTAGAATTTTCATGGGGAATGTAGAATCGACCCCATTAATTACTTTCGTTGTAGTAATACCCTCTTTGATTTTATAGTTTACCAAATATCGAATGTTGAGTCTTTTCCACAGACTTGTCTCATAGTAGGCATGTACTGGTTTTCTGTAGTGTATTGTGCTCATGATCCTTATATTGAATCACAACATTTTGTTGCATGAAAGCAAGTATCTTCTTCAGCACACTACTCCTTGATTTCAGTAGAACCTTCTGGATACAAGGTCCTACCTATGCAAGTTAGTCATAACTGACTTTAGGCTTGTTTTCTTTGTGTTTGCTGAAGGACCAGTTGTTCTACCATTTCTGTAATGAGCATTTAAAATGCTGCATTTCATATGTTTTCAATAGTCCTGGAGTGTTCTTCAGACCTGTTCGTGTCATAGTTCTTTGTGTATCTTAATTTTTTTTTCCATTTACTTACACTTCTTTCAAACAGAAATACAGTATTAACTGTGTCTTTAACTAGGCCATTGAATATCAGAGTACACAACAGAAAAAGAGGATCTGTAACCTTTCTTGGAAAAAAAGTTAATCAGATACCACATTTTTTCATAGAGTGGTTTGGATGGGAAGTGACCTTTAAGTATCATCTAGTCCAACATCTCTGCAGCGGGCCAGGACATCTTCCACTAGACCAGGTTGCTCAAAGGCCCATCCAGCCTGATTTTGAACACTTATTATGGTAGGGGGTTGGGCATTCACAGCTTCTCTGGACATCCTATTCCAGTGACTCGCCACCCTCACCAGAAATTGTCCATTTGCTGTGGTGGAGTGAAACTTTCCCACTCGGTTCAAATACTTACTGGGTTGTTGTTTTGTTTTGTTTTGGTGTAGTGCCAGCTTCCAGTCTTGCTGCTCCTCCAACAGTTGTCAGTGCACAGCCTAAGCCTCAGACTCCAGTGACCTCCACCAGCAACTTGACGACAGCAGTTCTTCCCGCGGCGAACGCGGCGGCGGTGGTGGGCGCTGGCCAGGTGCCCGGCGGCAGTGCCCAGTCGGTGTCTGTCTCACTGCAGTCCTTGCCCGTCATTTTGCACGTCCCCGTTGCGGTGTCGTCCCAGCCCCAGCTCCTGCAAGGTCACACGGGGACTTTGGTCGCTACCCAGCAGTCGGGCAACGTTGAGTTTATATCTGTACAGAGCTCGTCTACGATCGGCAGCCTTACCAAAACTGCAGTGTCCTTGGCATCAGCCAACCCAGCTAAACCAAATAACAACCCCGCTGTGCCCGCTGCCGGCGTGCAGAGGAACTCTCCAGCCAGTGCTGCATCCGTGGGCACGGCGTTGTCAGTACAGGCTGTTTCTGCTGCACATCCTGTTGCCCAGACCACAAGGACTCCTTTGCCCACAGTGGGTACTCCAGGACTTTATAATGCTGCCAGCAGTCGAGCTCCCCTGCAGATGAAGGTTCCCATCTCTGCCTTTAACAGTACAGCACCTGTTGAACCACCCACCATTACAGCACCCAAAGTTGGTAAGTTACACTTGAATGTTGACACTGGGAAAGGAAAAGAGTTGTCACAGGGAAACACAAAACTGCATTCCTGTGGAAATGTGTTTGTTAGTGTATTTTACTGAGATGCTTCTTCTGGGTTGCCTTTCTGTTGAAACTGCCACGGTCAAAGTCAACTCTGTCATAGGTGTGTTTCAGCCATTGTTGAATGCATTCTCTCCTTAGAAGGAGCCAGCAGTGTGGCTCTGTAAGTTTTATTTACAATTTGACATATCATTCCTAGCATGAAGTCAGAAACTCCTATTCTACCATTAACAACTTGGCTTTTATTTTTAATACAGCCTCTCAAAATAATCAGGCTGCCTTTCTAAGCAAAGGCATTCTAAAAGGAAGGCATAATCATTAACCTCATTTTCACAACACTAAAAATAAAATGGGAGGGGAAAAGCAACTGTATACTAACCTAGTTCCAAATAAGCACATTCATTATCATTAAAATAAAGTCTGAACACAATGAACATTCAAATAAGAGTATCTAGATTAACTGTTTTAAAATACTTTCCATCTTTGGCCATGCCATGATGATTCTCTGCACTTCTGATTTTACATACTGTGAAGATTTTTTTCTAAGAGGTCCTCGAGATTTCTAAGTGAGTTGGAGTTTTATAGCAAGTTTCTCATTGGCATAATCTAGTGTTAAAATGAACTTAATGAGCTTGACCTCAGAATTTAGTTTTATTTCATTTTCCAATCTCCTGTGTTACACGTGGTAAAATAGATCTCCCATAGCATTGGACAGTTACATGCTTTGTATTGATTTTGAGCTCTACAGCTAATATAGTGATTTTTACACAAAATAGAGTTGTGAAAGATCAGGCAATGACCAAAGGAAGGGCATCATGTGTCCGAAAAACATGTCTCATTGTAGGCAGTTCACATAGCTTTAGTGTGTACCCTAGTAGTTTCCACACCAGAACTGAAACCCTGCTGTGGGCCAGCACTGTTGCTGATAAGTTCTGTTTAAAATGAAAAGGAATGAAAATGGAGAATTTGGATTTAAATATTTACATCAAATATTCAAGAAACTTCTGTTTAACTTGCTAGTTCAGATACGTGATTTGGCTGAGCTAATAAAGATACTCAGTCTTCCTGCACGAATTTTCTCAGTTATGCATTTTGCAGTCTGTTTAACCATCTGTTGTTCAGTCAATGTTTTTTTTTACAAAAATCTTGAGTAATTAGAATTTTTTTTCAGTTTAGTATCTTGTTGGTTTACACGCAGAAGGAGAGGTTGGAGCGCACTTTGTCTCAGAGACAAGAGAATTGCTCAGAAAACACTTTTAATACAGTGTCAGACTTTCAGGCAAGGGAACAAACACTGGTTTTAGACTGGAAAGTGCCATTTTTCTTTTCTGTATCTTCTGTTCCCTCTGAAAAAAGGTAGAAATAAAGTTTGAATACTTAAAATTGAAAATTAGAGCTGAAAAAATTAGATGTGCCACATACTGAATAGTTGTAAAACAACTTTGAATATTGCTTCCAATTTGTGTAGTGGATAGCAGTATTTAGTACTGATTAGCTACTGCAAATGAACAATTTCTTGACCCCTCAGAAAACCAGACAAACAAGCCACCAACAGATGCTTCGGCAAACAAGCGAGCTGCTGAGGGAGCAACACAGGTAGGTTCTTGATTGTTTCTGTATAAAGTTCTAAAGTTACAATCCACAGGATAAAAGTTCTTTACCTTTATTGCTCGTAATGAAACAACTTTAGTTTCTTTTTTGTGCTATCCTTTCTAGTTTCTGTCCGCTTGTATTTTTCTTCTTCTTCTGATCCAGAGTATTACTTGGAGCATGAACTTCTGATAATCTTTTCAGAAGTTGTCTGATGGGGTTTGTGAAAGTAGATAAGTTAGTAATTCATGACCACACTAAAAGCTTGTCTGATAAGAGTTAACATACAAATAAAACCCTGCCCAGTTTTTGTCTGAAGGGCTTGAAATTAAAGCTATGAATATTTCATAAATTATTGCAGCTCTCGCATTTCCACACTGATCCAGAAGTTAGTAAGAATTGGAGTTCAAATATTTCATTGCTGTACGTCAAAGAAAAAAAAAAACAATCGAGAAAAGAAACTTTCTTCATGAATACCTACTTTGTGATAAAGGAGAACTTGCAGTATTCCTGGACTCCTCATCTAAATTTGTCAAACTTGCTTGGAAATTTAAAGGTTGAAATTAAGCTATTTAAAATTCTTCATAATCAATTTTCTTTCTGCATACAGATATTTTACAGAGCACCTCATACTTAACATTGCTGTTAACTGGAAGTCATTGTATTAAGGGGAATAAAATTCTTCTAGCCAAAATTCCCACATTTACTAGTGTTTCAGGGTACAGTTAAATTTAAATTGTGTTTCAAAGCCAGAAAATATACTGGGCACAAGATTCTGGTTTTCACTTGTCACAGGAATACTCTAGCAAAGACAACAAATAATACAGAGTATAGACTGTGCATCACTGTACTTATTTACTAAGGCATTTCATAAAGAATGGTTGTTTAGAACTTCATTTTTCAAAGATACCTGTGGATTATAGCTATTAAAACATTTGTCAGTCCTTGATAAGTGGAAAATTCAGTACCAGAATTCATGACAAACGTGCAGTTTTCAGATGTAATTTTTAGTATAAGATATGTATTTTTGAATTCTTCTTTGGTAGAGCCTGAAACCCGGAAAAGATTTTGGAAAAACAGGTTGTGTGTGATAGTGGTATTTAGCAATGGAAGGTGAGCAAGGAGGAGGGAAATGAGACCCATGATGCTTTCCGGTGTTCAGTCTTCTGTTGCAGTGTACGTTTCTAGGTTTGCTTCCAGTCACATCAGTTAAAGCATGTGTAATGTCATGGTTAATAAAGAAAGACCTGATTCGTTTTAATTGGCTAGTGAGGTGTGGAACTGACGTGCCATACCATCTGAAAAATGCAGTTAATGCCACCTGCTTTTTGTTACATAAATCCCAGAGTGTTACGTGTTCCTCCGCACTTCCCAGCTCTCAGATCAAAACATAGTTCGCTGTGTGCCGTATACCTGTGGCATGTTTGATGCTACAACTTTGATCAATTGTTTCGAAAAGCAGTTGAAACAGGAAGAGACTTCATCAGAAAATAAAGAGGCGGTAGAAGCAGCACAGACGAATTTTAACTTCCCCGAGGATGTCTTTGGCTTGGAGGAAGAGGATGCTAAGAGCATCAAAAACACCCACAAGCAGACTGGCTGGGCAGCTAACCTATTAAAACAATGGCTGACCAAAAATGGCAAGGATCCTAGCTTTGAATTGGTCCCAGTAAGCGAACTCAACGATATCCTGAGGGAGTTCTATTACACGATAAGGAATCATGACGGCAACACCTACAGCGTGGCCAGCTACAAGTCTATGCGTGCCGGCCTGAACCGGCACCTCCGCACGCCGCCCTACAGCCGCCAGCTCTGCCTGATGAAGGACAAAGAGTTCGCCAGTGCCAACATGGTGTTTGTGAGCGTGCTGAAGATGCTGCGCATGCAGGGGAAGGATGAGACTCACCACCACCCTCCTATAGCTGCCGAGGACTTGCGTAAGATTAAACAGTCTGGTGTGCTGGGATTACACAGTCCGCTGGCGCTCGTCAACAAGGTGTGGTTTGATTTGCAGCTGCACTTTGCCAAACGAGGGAGGGAAATTTTGAGAGATCTGGCTCCAGATGCTTTTGTTGTTGAGAAGGACAAGAATGGGCGTCGATACGCTATGTTTAGGTATCCTGGCAAAGGGAAAAATGGAGAAGATCCTCATAAAATGGGTAAAATGTACGATATGCCAGGGGACCCAAACTGTCCTGTTTTTTCCTTGGAGCTTTATTTGTCCAAGTTGCCGCCGGATCCCCCTGCCTTCTACCTGCATCCTCTGAAGCTAACGGCAGAGCAAATGCAAGAGCAGCCTGTCTGGTACAAGAGAGAGCCGATGGGTGTGAACTACTTGGGCACCATGATGCCCAGGATAAGCGTGGCTGCCAGGCTCTCCCAGCGGTACACCAACCACTCCCTCCGCACGACCACCATCCAGCTGCTCTGCGAGGCGGGGCTGGGGCCGCGGGAGATCATGGCGGTGACGGGGCACCGCTCCGAGTCCGCCATCAGGCACTACTGGGGAGCCGCCGAGGTTCGCTACAGGGCCTGGTCAGACCGAATGGAGGATAACACCGCCAGGTACCTGTATGGCAGGATCCCAAATGAAGTGGTGAAAGAATCACTGCCTGGTGCCCCCAGCTCTTCTATGAACCGTGTTGTTCTAGAACAAAGTAAAATTTTATTTCCTGAGAAACCTGCGGTGTCATCTGGCGCTAATTCTGTGACTTTATTTGCTGAGGGACATCCGGCTCTGAGTTCCAAAAGCCCTGTCCTGTTGAACCACAGTTCTTCCAAGCTGTTTCTCCTCAAGAACATAGCCAGTGGGAACCAAACTGGCAGTCCCCTTCAAGGCTGTTGTAACGAACCTGTCTTCATGAAGCGCATGATAAAACAGGAACCAATGACTTGATGCTTCTGTCATGGAACTGATTTCAAATGAATTGCCAAAATGGAAAAAAAAAAAAAAACAAAAAAAACCAGATTTGTTTTATCGGTTGGTCTACTATGAAAATTTCTTACATTCTAGTTGAGCAAGAAGTATCCTGTTGGCACTCCTGAAGTGAGCTGTGGAACAGAAACTTAGAGCAGGGCCTGGAGTTCGTGAGACTTTCTGTGGCAGATGAGACTCTAAGTGGCTGAGCAGAGCTATTTTAAAGAAAGGGAGATAGTGATTTCCACTTAGCTGAAGAGCTGTGCTTTCTTCACTAAGTGCATGGCTTTTATATTTTGTGAAGAGTGTATTTATTATACCATTTTGTGCCTGCTGGCACTAATGTAGCATCTTACAAATCAAATACTTGATTACTGAAGAGGACAGTGAAAGTAGAGGCTGAATGAAAGAGGCACAGATACACTACAAATGTACACGTATGCATGAAAATACCTGGAATTGCTTGACCACTGTCACACTCTCTGTTCAAATTGTTATCAGACCTACAAGAGGATTGTGCCTTTTTTTTTTTTTAAACATTATTCTAAGTTGATGGTGAGATACAGATTCATACTGCCGGTCTTTGCTTTTCCTGCTTATTCTGGCTAAGACTCCAGTCATTCTGTTCACCGAAGGCACTGTTTGACACAATTGATACTAAAATTGGTCTCTCTTCAGATGTGCATGAAATGGGGAAAATGTTCTCAAAAGAGTTGAGAACAGGTTTGTTGCTTAAATGGCAAGTCATTACAGTTGGAGTGTTGTCTCTGTATGTGTTTATCTCGTGAGAGGTTTTGTTGTATTTCCTCTCTCCTCCCCCTTCCATTACATTTTGGATTGTCTTTGCAGTATAGTCTTTGTCAATATAGTATAATTCACAAGAATCGCATCCTGTTTCCCCCCACCAAACTGTATCCAAATATTATTCGTGGTTTTAAGTTCCTTAGATTAGTTGACTATAGTGAACCTATAATTTCATTTTTTGTAGGCGATTTTTACAGGTTAGAACTTAGAAGGATAGTGGAATTGAATTTTGGCAGAGAAATTAAATTGTAATTTATGAAGCTCTTCAATGAAAAAATGACAAATTGGGAGGGCTAGTCATAGTTAATTTTTAATGAACCACCCCTGAGGATCTAACTCATGGTTTGTCTCTGCTATTCCACACCATCATATTTGTCAGTGATTCTGACAAATCGAGAGGCCTTCCTGTAAATAAAAATGGAAAACTGGTCATCAGATCACAGATAGTGGTAGGTCCACTCTGGAAGAAGAAACCTTCTAGGATTTAAAACTGTTTCTCATTATATTAACTAAAAGAGAAATAAGAATGGCTTCATCCTTTCGAAGTGCATGTGTCCCCATGTGTCCATCCATGTGCCCACACACGTGGTGCTGCACACTGGAAGTTTTTGTGTTGCCCAGCAGTGGGCAAAATGGAGAAAAGTCACAGCTGAAATGACAAATCGACCATGACACGCTCTTAGTCCTGGGGAGAACTTCCTTGCTGGGAAAGGCTTTCAAATACTGAATGAGATTCATCACCTTGGTATAGTGTGGTCAGAGGACTTGATGCCTGAACTTCTTAGGTTTTGTCTTGGCAGATAATGTTTAGCTCTGTGGCCTTGGGCAGGTTGTTCATACTCAACTGCATCAATTTTCCAAAATGTAAGACCAGCACAGAGTGTTCCATTTCCTGAAGGATCGTGTGAAAGACAAAAACACTTTGAAAGTGCTATATTCATCTTTGGTATTGTGCTTACAGTTGTTTTTATTTGCTGTTGTGTTAATGATTGGGCTAGTTGGTCAGCTATAGTTGTTAATATAAAAATGAACACTGCGCAGTTCTACACTTGTTTAGTTGTAGCATTAACTTATATCAGTGACAAGTGGAAGGAAATCATGGCTGCATTATAATTCTGTCAAGCCTAGAGTAAATCAAATGGAAATGGTAAAGTAATCCTTACTAATGGCTAGGAAGAAGAAAAATTGAAGGGCAGACAGTTCTGAAAATACAGGGGAACTGTGGGATAACTTCTAGAATATTTTAGTGTAACATAGATTTCCAAATTTTAAGGATTCATAGAAT